GAGAAGAAGGGTCGAATGAGACTTACTGTATGTGCCATCAGAATAACGGACTGTGGCAGCTTGGAAGGAAGCTGGGAGTACTCATGGGACTTTGAGAATTTGAACGCAGCTGGGCATGAGGAGTACAGATTCACCTTGATCCGTGAAGGTTTTGCAGATGAAGACAGATGATCCAGAGGACAATAGATGACGCCATTGAAACATTCACGCCGTGTTTCAAATTACGTGCAATTGGGCGGACCAACGGCAAGAAAGAGAGTGGTCAACTACATCTGGACGATGTACTAAGTTAGAGAAGGCCATGAAGGAGAAGGCCATGAACCCCAAAGCACACCTTTGTGAGTAAGCGTAAACTATAGACAGTATGGCGTTCCAGACAGATTTGGGAAAGGCAAAGGCTCAAGGTCTGACTACATCGGGCCATATGCCAAAGGCCATGGAAAGACGAAAGCAGATGACGGAGAGATGAATAAAGAGCGTGAAAGGGCAAACGGAAGCCTTGGCTATGCGGCAGCTGAATTCATGTTTTGGATGGAATGGTGTTCAAAACACCTGGAATCCGAGAGATTTGACCGAGTAGGTCCACGTTGCCGAAGAGGTCATTTCTTGAGGAGGCCAGAAACGAAGGCAGGGTGCTAGACTGACACCGTGAGCGTTCATAACCTTTGATTCAAGTTCACGCAACATGCCGTATAGGCTCAGTTCCTACTGGCGGAAAAGGAGCGCATCGTGCATTCGAGCTCTTTCAACCGTAGTTCCTTACCACGGCAAACCATGGCCATAGTCACCGACATGATGCACTGTCATCGTTTGGCCAGCAGATTGTTGCTGGCTTCCTTCAGGATTTGGTTGTGAAAATCGAAGTTACTGGCGTGGAATATGTCTGGCCGACGTGTTTATCCAGCGAGCCAAGCGGCCGGGAGCAATATCCTAAAGTGCATTTCTCCCAGGACACTCCCGAAGATACTGTTGAAAACTGCGGCGAAAAGACTGTGATGAGCCCAATGTGCAGGAGACGACATCAGAACTGACGAAGCTGAAAACCTCCCAGCAATGTTGATGTAGGACATTTAGCTATGCGTTCATCAGCTATATGGACGACAGCGTTCGTGTGCCTGGTACTTTGTGTCCTATATGGTTTGCGTTTCGATTGCAGAGCGCGGTTCGGGAGGTGATGAGAACAAGTCTCACAGGACGCTCGTTGTATGTTTTCCAGAGAATCGACGAGGCAGGTGAATCAACCCCTCCTTGCAGCTGTGAGCGCCGCGCGTCCCTGGTTCTTTGATGTCTTTTGCCTCAAGCCTTTTTTGCCAACAGGCTGGCTAAGTCTGGCAGCTGCAAAAAAGGACGCGAGAAAAAGGAGAGCTTGCAGGGGCAAGCAGCGTCATTTCAATGAAACGGTGAAAATTGTTGTACGGATTCTATACATACCGCGCTGGGTGAACGTTGCGTTATCCGTCATCTGGCTAAAGCAAGTCTTAGAATCCCAGCCAATGACTTGGAAACTATTGGCCCCGTGAACGATTCAGGGGTGGGAATTATTTTTTGGGCAAGTTTTTTCTTGTTCACCCCGTTGACTTCTTGGGATTGAGCATCAAGGCTTCTCAATTTGAATGGCAAAGGCTGTAAAAGTAATTTTGCAAAAAATCAGTTCCAGTCCGTTGTTGGCTTCTTGGTGCCTTGCGCTTTAGATTCATTTTCTGGAGTTCTCAATCAACGCATTCTAGCTTTCATTATTCAGGTCGCTTCGCGACAACAACCGCCCGCAGAGAGGGGGGGAAAGGAAGTATAGTCTATCGCAATTCTATTTAAAGGCTTACGCCTGACAGCCGGGCGCCGGCGTACTAGGGTAAGAGAGGTGTGGGTCGAGGTGACGGTAGGCGTCGCTCGCGGTGTTGGCGAGGTGTGGTGTTGGGAAGGGACCCGCCATGTTTCCGCGGAGTCTTCCATGGAGAAGACGGGGGCCGGGGTTTGGGGCACCCCGGCAGCACCCGTCCGAGGGACGGGGGCTGACTGCCCTGGTTGCTTGCAGCAACCAAAAGTCGGGAGAGCCGTCGGAGAGAGAGGAGGCGGGGAGGCGGCAGCTGTCAGCTGGCAACAAGAGCGTCGCTCATGCCAGCCAGCCACAGCCCTGGCGAGGAGAGGCAGACGGCAGACGTCATTCCACCCTCAAGGACATTGTCTGCAAGTTGATGCGCCAGCAAGGCCGGCGGGGGTGGAGAGGTTGGGGGTCGAGGCGTCGACGCCGCAAGGTGGAGACGTAGAGTGGCAAAGGACTTGGACAGCATGCTGCAGAGAGTAGTTAGCAAGAAACAGTCGACACCGGAAAGGGGACAAACAGTCGACACCGGAAAGGGGACAGATAGAGAGACTGGCAAGACGTGGGCTCAACGACAGGCGAGCCTGTGAACAGAGCAAGAGCATGTGCAAGCCAGAAACAGCCTCCAACCCAAAGACACCAGAAGCAACCAGCGCTGAACTCCCAGAAGTGATAGGATAGCAAAGAGTAGAGTGCAAGAGAAGCTAGGAGACGGCTAGGGTTAGAGAGCAACAGCAACCAAGCACACCTGACCTTTTTTTGCATTTTATGTTCGGTTTCAGCGGGGGGGCGTGTGAGCAGGGCAGGAGCACGTGCAAAGCAGAGCAACAAAGGATCTTTCTTATAAAGTAGGTGTTTGTTTTTTTAAAAGAGGTGTTCAATTTGTCAACGACATCATGGTTGAAACCGTGCCCATTCAGCCACGAAGATTTTGGATTTCAAAACCCAATCCACGCTCGCCAGCGAGCCCATTGACATTACAACCAGCTTTTCAACAAGATAATGTTATATACTGTCATTTCCTGTGGCTTTCTTCTCTTGTGTTCTTCGCGGAAAACGCCGAGACGGGAACCCAACACATCAGAGATGATGCTTTGGGAAGTATACATCATTCACATGGATGATCAGGAATGGTGGTAGTGGAGCATATTGCGGCACATATGTTAGCGGAGCATTTGGTGTAACAAGAGAAATGATAAGATTGAAAGCTGTGAGAAAAGTTTGCTACATACAGTACCGGCGTTGCCGCAGAGTAAGAGAAGAAACACCTGACAATTATTGTTGCGGGATGGCCATAGGCTTGCAATCTTAAAAATGTCTATGCGCACCTCATGAGAGCCTGGGCCTCGCTTACTTTCAATCAAGACAGCATCAAAATGCAAACTGAAAGCCAACAAGTTGGCTGTGGATCATCTTCCAGCAAGCTGGATGACGATTTCAACATCAAAAACGCTTTTTTTCCATCCTGCTGGTTGAGTCAGCGCGCGTTGGCACCGGAAGCGGCAGCCGCTTCAGCAGCTCTTCTCGCCTTACGTTTGACTTCTTTTTGGTTCTTGCGATCTCTCTTCTCTCGCTGCTGCCATTCCCAAGATGTTTTTGGCTGTGTAAACTTCTTTCCTCCTTTTTTTATCATTGGATCCTCTTTGGGGATCAAGGATTCGGCGTCTTCCCGGAGCCTCTTCTCCTTGACTGCTCTTTGATCAGCTTCGGCCTTCTCTTGCTGCGCTGCAGCCAACTGCCTCGACAAGGTCACCGCCACTTCTTCCGGCCAATTGCATGAACCGCTGAGCTAGTTGGTCCAACCGTCGCGTTGGGGTAGCGCTGCTGCTTGAACATGGTCGACGGATGTGGTCTGATGCACGGGAACGGAGCTCGTCATCATCTTCCTCAAAGACGTTGGATGCAGAGCAGAAAAATCGAAGGCATCAAAAAAATCGCCACCCAAACAAAATCATATTTACTAGTGAAAATGCCTCATACCAAGAAGACTGCCTTAACCCTTTGCCATGCAAGGAACCCAATCAGTTGGAGATGTCGTCGCAGGGATGATTTTTACATCGTTGGACGCGACTGTCTCAGCCTTATCCACAATGGTCGGCTCACTTGGACTCGCTCTGAACGTTGTAGGAGGAACCAAAACAGTGATCTCAGAACGCGCCATCATCTCAGAGGGCGGCTCGGTCTCGTCGTCTGCGTCACCTTGCAAAAATGCCCTCTCAGAGGGCGGCTCAGTGTCGGCATCTCTATCATCCTGCACTGCTCCTCGCAAGGCTTCCATGAGAGCTGCATCCATCATGGCTCACGACCACGAAAAGGAAAGAGCTAAATCCAGTCTGTTTGGGAATCTTATATTTATTACGTCGACATGGCTGTAGTCAGACTAAGCCAAAGTTGCTGTCAGCCTATTAACTTTCTCTGGTGATCCCTTCCAGCTCAGATCCTTAAAGGAATAGATACAGGAACATCACAAGTGAACCATATCATTGACAATGACATCGAAACGCACAGCAAAATATTGAGCAATCAAGAAGGCCAACAAGTTGGTCTTCTTCTTCCTTGCCAGCAAGCTGGCTAGGAAAGTTGGACTTTTTGCTGGCAAGTTTGGGCTAAAGGTGCATCTTGAAAGATTGTGTGTCCACCCCTGTGAACACAGCGACACTCTTCTGAGTGTCGACTCCAGGGGCCGTGCTGCAAGAGCGCAGCTGGGCGCGTGAAGCTGTCAAAAAGCGGGGTCTGTATAACACACACATGACAATTTCTCAACGACGCCTAAATAAGGAATCTCGAAGACAGGTCATTCAGTATATGGCCGATGATGAAGACTTAATTCCCGCCAGCTTGCGTGATGGAAACGCTGAAAAACATTTCACGGATGCTGCCAAATGATCGATGGTATTGCGAGATCAGGTTCGGAAAACTGTGATGAACCAAAAAGGGAGCATACACCTATAGTGCAAATGATCTAAATATATGATATCCATGTCAAAATTTGGCCCGACCTCGTGCAGATGGCAGTGCCGCCATAGCGCGTCAGCTTCGTGTCATTGGCAAAAACACGGCAAACAACACACATTCAAAATTGAAATAAGGTGGGTCCTCTCACCTTTCGCAAGTCTGAGACTGACTGGCTCTGACCACCTGACCACGTGGCAGCTGGCGCATCGCAGCAGGACCTTAAAGTCTACTTGTGACAAGGAATCGCGCTCTCACCAGGCAACTTCACATTGCCAATCAGGTGCCAGACTGGCTTAATCGGCGACAAGCCTTTGGTGCTCCACCGGACATACCAGATCATCTGCAGGGGCGAATCGGCACTCTTCACTAGACTTGACACCTTGTGGCCGCAATTCTTATGCGACAACTCGGTGCCAGCCTCAAGCTTTGACTGGAAGATCACGCGGTGGGTCACCGTCAGGCTAAACTCACTCAGCTTCTCGGCTTCGTTGATCTTGTGGTAACAAATCTTTGCATCGGGCTTCTTGGCGCGCATCTCAGCCAAGACAACCCCCAAAGACTGCGCCGACCCATTCAAAAGAACGAGGTCGCGGTGGCTTTTGAAAGCCAATTCCACGGAATTCTCTGGTAGCTGCTGGGCATCCTTGAGCACCTTCCATGTGCCATTTCCAAAGAAAGCGATGGCTGGGTCAACGCTGGACCACTCTTTGGTACCTTTGTTCACCACAAAGATCTCGGACTCGGACCGAAGGTGAAGGGCCATAGAAATGTCCTTTGCTGTGGGCAAGCTGAACTCATGCAACAAAGCGGTGGAAATCTGCTTCGCCTCAATGATGCCAGCATTCACTGAAGACATATCTGCGCGAAGCTTCTTTGGGCTAGGGCCACCGCTTCCAGATTCACCAGGCCTCTTTGGAGCTCCCCCCTTGGGTTCATTGGCATTTTTCTGTTCCTGTTCCGGATCGATGACCTTGTACTGCTTCAGGAAATCCTCCAGCCAAGCCTGAAACTCTTTTCCACATTGGGCATGATCTTGCCATTCCCGGACAATGGCTGCAGGAATGGACAGGTTTTCATCTTTGATCACCTGAGTTGGGACAGGAAGGCTATAGAAAAAAACAGGAAAGGATTACGAAGATGAGTTGGAGATTTCCGCTACCTTGACAAAACGGGATAGGACATTGACACCAAATGGGTGACATGGGTGCTCAGCCAAAAAACAGCAGACAAGTGACCAGCAAGTTCATGTTTGGCGCCGGCGGCGTGGCTTCCACCAAATCATCACTCATCTTCTGCTCAATCTTCTCACCATTGGGCGTGGACTTGCCTGCTTCATACGCTTGTGAGAGAGATTCTTTCATGTAATTCTCAATGTAAAGCGCCTCATCCTGGGACTCGCAAAGGGCAATGTATTGCACATTGTTTCTGTGGCTTCTCAAGTCGCAGAATGCTTCACACATATCACCATTCCTCGGATAGAGGTCTAGGACCAATGTTGCGCCTGGCTCCGGCTGCACGCCTGTGAAGGCTGAAGTGAGCACCGCGCTGCAGGCAGTAGAGCCGACTTGCCAATACTTCGGCGCTCCATGGAGGATATCTCTGGTGTCAGTGGTGGTGGGAAGGCTGTCTTCCGCTACGCATTCCACTTCGCGCATTTCTTTTGCTGCCAGCTGTTTCTGCTCCACTGTGCGCTGAGTCTTCCTCAAGTCACAAGAAAACCATGGGTTCTTCTGCAATTCCAAAGGACTGGGGAACACAAAGCGGCCAGTGTACACCAGAGGTCGCAAGTCCCGAGCATCACTGCGCTCAGAAAAGAGCAAGTGCCACTGCCAATCGATGTTGTGATTGCCTGCTGACAATTTCTGGAGAAGCTGCGATTCTTCAAGAACCAGCTTGCCCTTGCTGTAGCTGAAGGTTGGCATCAGCACTAGGGCCATGCTTTTCATCTGGTCATTCAAGGCCCAGGCCAAAAGGCTGACACTTTGCTGGTAGATGTGTGCCGGGATCAAGCATGGAGACGTGACATTCCACCAAACCAAGGTGTAGATCTCATCCGCAGGCACTGACAATTTTTGGGTCACATCTCGCTTTGCATTCATGATCTCAGCGATTGCGAGCTCCACCTTCTTTTGCCACACCAGAAGCTTCACGTTGCGGGAAAGAAACTGATCAGCCACTGCCAGGCATCTCTTGCGACGTTCCAAAAGCCACATATGCCTCTGATGCTCTTGAGCGCTTTTGACACTGGAGACCTTGCGGGTCCATGTGGTGTAGACCTGAACATCGTACTTGAGCTGTTTCATGATCAAAGCAAATTTGTCCACCTGCAAAGAGACTTCCTCCACGGTGTCCATGGCCACTGGCTTCGAGAATTTGTGGTCTTCCACCAGCTTGCGCAATGAGGGGCAATCGCGCCTCACGTCGAAGGTGTCGGATTTGTCCATGAGCAAAGCTTGCAGCTCGCCATCCACAGAGTTTTCCCCGGAACCGAAATTGTCATACCATTCAGCCTGCAGTTTGTTGGGGTCAACGGGAACTTGTTGCAGCAGTTCTTGGCCAAGATGCCAACACAAGGCTGCCTTCACGGCAGCGTCCTCAACTGCTTGAGTATCGGGTTTCTTTCGCGTGTAGCTAGCCTTCTGCTCGTGGCAAGCTTGCAAAAATTTCACCATCAACATCATGGACTCATCCGTAGTGCGGAGCCTGGGGAGCCATGACTTCTTGGAGCAGCTGAACTGGAAGCCGGAAAATATCTTCTTGCTACTGAGGTTGTCGTCGCTCCACACGCACGATTCCCAACCATGCATGTTTACATGGTCCAAGATCAAAGTGAGAACACTTGGAGGCGTTTGCTCCAAAAGCAACTTCAAAGCTGACGCCTTTCTCCCGACAATTTGAAATGTCTTGCTGGACATCTTGTTCCAACGCTGCACAAAGGCGGAGCTGTCTGATAGGCCGAGGGACTTGAGGTTCTGGAGCATAAAGACCAGCTGAATCAAGTTGTTAGCTTTCCGCAGGGATCCACGGCTGGAGAGCTTCATGTTCGTCAGAGCCTCATCTATTCTGTTTGAAGACTCCATGCAATGCACCCAGATCCTCGTCACAGAGGACCACAGCGGCGCCAGTCCCGGCGAAGAACCATTCAAGCCAAGAGCCTTGCACCGGTGAAGGAGCATCAACAGAGTGGTGCTTCTGGCAAAACCTTTCAGGTAGGCCAAGTTGAAGGGCTGCAGCTTGCTACTGTCCTTCTCCAAGCCATAAGGCGCGACGCAAGCTTCATGCTGCAAAACCAACAGCGGGTCACCAGCAGTCACAAAGCCATCTTTGAGAAACTCTTGGAGCAAAGAGGTTGCCAGACCCGCCCCAGGCCCAGGTTTGAGGCTGCAGTTGCTCGTGAACCCCAAGGAAGACACATGGACACAAGTGGGAGCAGCGCAAGCCAAGTCTGAACTGTCCTTGAAGCACGGCAACTTTGCTTCTTGGTGGTAGAGGGTGTCATCTTGCTCCGGAAATTGCTCCCTCAACCATTCCATGAATTCAAAGCCCTCATCTGCAGTCCGCAAATACCTTTGAAGGTATTGACTCGGCCCGCCGCATTGTGCCAAGCAAGTCTCACACGAAGCCATGACCTGGCTCTGGGCACCATCATCATCCACAGCCATGACGCTGTGTGTCCAGGCATCATCAGGGGGAGCTGCTGCAGCAGCTGTTGCCGCAGATGACTCTGGAGCTTCCGAAGCCATGACAGTCTGACAGAGTCGAAGGACTGACTCTACTCCGGCCCTACTTCCTCCACAACTTGAACGCAAATAAGAATGTCAACAATGAAGTGAATCTGAAGATGGCAATCAAAGGCAACAAATGCAATGACACGAAATCCGCGCAGAGCTCTGAGACACGAAATCCGCGCAGAGC